AATGCCTGTTGCGAAGAGGAATAATGCCATAATAGTTAACGAAAGAAGAAGTAAACATAGGTCACCAAATTAAAGCAGAAAATTGATTCGCCTCACGGTGTCGACATACTTTTGATACAAAGAAAAGAATGCTCATCGAAAATAAATTGCTAAACTGTAACGAAATCTTTCGCCCAAATTGTCACTGTATCTGATCGACCACGAAGAGTTGAATGGAGATGGTTATGGCAGAAAACGCTTTAGCTACCCCGGAATCGATTTTAGAGTGTCCACATACTTTCGGTACGCACTGTAGACTTTGGTTATTGAATACTGCACTGCTCGGCTTCTTGCAGGTATCAGTAGCTTCCGACTACTGTGATTAGTGCAGTAAAGAATCATTTAGAAATCAAGATTGTTGAGTCCGACTCGGAAATGAGACTGTTCCCTTCTCTTCGTAGCGTATGAAATTCTAAGGGAAAATAGCTGAAAAGCTGCCTGAAGATAAGGTACCTCACTCATACTCCGTTAGTGATAACCTTGTTGCTTAACTGTTTCATGCAAAAAATTGATGTGCGCTCAGTCTTGAACAAAGTGTAGCGTGACCTCGTGGCCAACCCAACATATACAAACAAGGAAAATTAAATCGGAAATATGGACCCACTATGTCTTTGTTTGATGTTGAGCCTGAAGTACTGCTAGTGGTGCTTGTTGTCGTTGTAGAAGTGCTACTGCTACTTTGTGTCGTACCAGAGTCACTGCTACTTTGTGTCGTACCAGAGTCACTGCTACTTTGTGTCGTACCAGAGTCACTGCTACTTTGTGTCGTACCAGAGTCACTGCTACTTTGTGTCGTACCAGAGTCACTGCTACTTTGTGTCGTACCAGAGTCACTGCTACTTTGTGTCGTACCAGAGTCACTGCTACCCTGTGTCATATAAGAGCTGCTGCTAGTGGTTCCGCCTCCACCGGGGCGTACGGGTGATCCTCCCATCGACTGGCCCGTGCAGACCCATTTCGCTACTGTCTGGTATACGCTTCTGTCTACTGTCTGAAAATAGCTCAAATCTCGTCTGGCATGTAGTTAATGTAAACTCCATTATTCGTCATGATTACATAGTTTTAAGTGCTTCTGTTCGAATCTCCGAGATTGTATCGACCAAGCGAACCTTACATATAGCACACTAGCGTTTTTCAGAGCTTGCAGCTTGAAGCATATTTCTGAAACACTTCATCCGAGCAATATTTCTTATCACAAAAAGAAAGAGCCAAGAGGACCTAATTCATGACCCTTTTTGTAACCCGCTAACTTTTTGAAAAGTCGAGCGTAAGAAGGCAGCCTTGCTAACAGTGCGCGTCAATTGTATATGCCACCCCCTGATTTTTTCAGTTTTCTGACTTATTTGGAAATTTCGTAAATCGGCATAGCAACCATCGTTTTCGGCGTGTCGGAAAACTAAGAATGGTGTTGTTTGATTTTGGTTAACGCGTGGATTTGAATTGCTCTGTTCTTTTGAAGAAAATGGGCCGCGTCAATTGCTTATGCCATCCTAAAGTTTCTTCAGAATTTCTCATGTCTCTAACGCTATTCAGCTACGGTGTGCATGCAGTACAAATGAGAAAATCCTCCACTTATGCAATGCACACAAATGGTGGAGCATTTATAACTAATTAGTTCGGAATATTAGCCCTTATACTGGACGGTAGCAGCATGAAAACGCTTTATCAGAGAAAGTGCTGTGTGCTCACTCTTGCGATCGCTCCTGCTGCTTATTGTAGAACTCATCGAGGAGTGTATCCAGGCAAAACTGGGGAAATTGAAGTGCTCAAGGAGCTCTTAAATTCTCATTTTCCCGCTTCGAATCCGTGGTCAACTTTATTTGTGGTCTCGGCTCCCGCGAAGCTCGAAGCGTTCACGCTCACAAAGTCTCTGTTCAGAGAGAATATGAGTTGCACTCACAATCCGCGTAGTACCCATCGCCGAACTTTGTCGGATTCTCTCTGGAAAAATTTTCGTACCGAGCGAGCGAAAATGATGACATGGGCCAGTTGTAACTTGAACGGGACACCGAAGTGGTGGCATGGGCCATCATTGCATCGCCTTGATAAGAAAACTTCGATCGAGTTCAGTGATGGGTACCAGACGGGTAGTAGGTACGAGTCATGTTCTCTCTAAAAAGAGACTTTGTGAGCGTGAACGCTTCGAGCTTCGCAGGGAGCCAAGACCACAAATAAAGTTGACCACGGATTCGAAGCGGGAAAATGAGAATTTAAGAGCTCCTTGAGCACTTCAATTTCCCCAGTTTTGCCTGGATACACTCCTCGATGAGTTCTACAATAAGCAGCAGGAGCGATCGCAAGAGTGAGCACACAGCACTTTCTCTGATAAAGCGTTTTCATGCTGCTACCGTCCAGTATAGGGCTAATATTCCGAACTAATTAGTTATAAATGCTCCACCATTTGTGTGCATTGTATAAGTGGAAGACTTCCTCATTTGCACTGCATGCATACCGT